GTCTGAACAAACATTCAGTCACTGACTCCCAATGGGCGTGATGCCCTGAATTCGCCCGCTGCTTTGCGGGTAGCTTATTTAACCAAAGGTTGGGGTGGGGTCCCCTAAGTCAACACCCTACTTCGGCTTGAACAACCGGGTAGTATCACACTCTCTCACAAAACCACGGACTGCTCTACAAGGCGCTCATCCGCTGCTGTTTCTGCATCTTACATTCACGCGGCTTCATCACACGTAATAAGTTTGTTCGCTAACAATCCTTACTTTCCGTTACCCTATTCATGTGTTCAAAAATCTGGCTGCCATTCCGGCTGCGCCGCGAACCACGAAGTTTAATCCATGGCTCGCCTTCCATCTCAATCCTCGTTCCGTCTGGCGTGCTTCAATGTTCTGACACTCATGCAGAGTGGTTAGCAAACTGGTCTAGGGCGCACCCTAGGATTCCTCGATATGTACGTCTGCTGTCTTTCGGAAATCCGATTGCAAGACCCTAGTACTGTGCTTACATTGACATCCCCCAATGACCACGAAGCCAGATATCATTTGGAGATCTGGAAGCAGTCTTAGCGGGTTTGGCCGGTGCAGATATAGCAGTAAGTGGCAAGGCGGAGGCGGCACTACTGGACTGGTTCCCGATTAACAGCTGACTGTGCGCAGTTCGACTTCGTGGTTCATGTAGAATCAACAAGCGTCGCGAGGAAAGATGACATTTTTTGTGATGCCGCGCACGCTCCAACTGATTGCAGTAGTGGCTCGGTCAAGGACGAATTATATCGGGAGCTACATCAGCTCTTGACTGATGCTAGAAAGTCGGATGTCATTGTCCTTTCTGGGGATTTCAATGCATGGGTTGGCCGCCTGTTGCCATACAAACGCCATGGTGGTGGTCACCGCTCGGATAACGGAGAGAGGCTACTCACATTGTGCGAAAACAACCATCTGGTTCTCTCGAGCACTAACTTTAGGCGTACGAAGAAGCGTTCCGCAACGTGGCGTCCCCATGCGCCAAGACAACCGTGGTCTCAAATTGATTACATTGCAATCAGCTTCAGATAACATAGCAACGTACTGGACTGCAGGTACTTTTGGTCCACCTTCGTTGACTCAGATCATGCACTGGTCTGTGAGAAAATCTGCATGTGTTTTGGGGGGTCCCGAAAGACCAAGGACCGAAAGATCGATGGTAACAGATTAACTGTTTCCTCTGTCCAAGGGAGCCACCAGTCTTCAGTGACATACACAATCAGTTGCAGTTCACCACAAGACGTGAAGCAACACTGGACTTGTATACAGAAAGCGAGGACCATTTCCAGATAGTCAAGCTGCGGCCTAGCTCAACGCCCCTTAAAGGTTTGGATCACTGCTCGCGCTCTGGAGCTGTTCGACCGCGGCAAAGATATCCCAGCGAAACCAGACTGCAACGAACGGTGCCGTTCTGCCAACCGGCTGCTCAAACAAAGCCTACGCAAGGATCGAGAGGCATGGTGACCTGAGTGTGCTTTAGAGATGGAGACCGTTGCCCTCTCTGGCAACACACTCATTCAGTCCATTGGGCTCAGGAAGCCTGGTGTCAGTGAGGTCATTTGCGAGACTGGCGAGTCTCCGATCACCAACCGCTGGGCCGAGCACTTTCACTTGCAATTCAACTGGCCTTCACCATCCATCAATACACCCAGTACATCTTGTTGTCTACCCTGACTCGTCCCACTGAATCCACTCAACGGAGCGGAAGTATCCCTCGAGATTCGACGCTTGAAGCGGCTTAAGGCTGCAGGCTCAGACAGACTTCCTCCGAAGCTGTTCAAGTACGGAGGCATGAAAATCGTTAACCAGTTGACCTCGCTGTTCGCAAAAGGTGGCATAAAGAGAAGTGCCTTTCTTTTGGGGCGAATCAGTTATTGTCCCGATTTTCAAGAAGGGCGCTCGCAATTCCTGTGTAAATCATCGAGGGATTAGTCTTATTTTGATTGTCACCAAGCTATTGGCATCCACTCTGCTCCGTAGACTATCCCCAATACTTGAATCATAATACCGTGAAGAACAAGCTGGTTTCCGTCCTGGCCGCGGATGCGTGGATCAAATCTCCACACCGCCAGCTCCTTGAACATCACCACACTTATCACAAGCCCACTATTGTTGCATTCCTAGACATACGTGTTGCATTGGACTCAGCTGATCGATCTGCTTTATGGCATTGCTTGTTAAAGAACAGGGTGCCAGAGAAGTATATGGCCATCGTACCATCATATCTTTGGCAGAGTGAGAGTCTATGGCAAGCTTTCCTCGTCATTCGCTGTCAATAGCGGTGGGCGACAAGGCTATCCTATATACCCATACCCTGCAACTTCGCAAGCGAAGACGTTCTGTCGAATGCTCTAGAAGCTTTCCATTTTTGCCCAGAACTTCCACCGGGTGAGCGCGCGACCGACTTAGATTATGCCGATGATATCGTCTTACTTGGTGACGATCCTCGGGATATGCAACTCACTGGATCGTTTGGTAGTTGAAGCATCTAAGTACGGAATGAGTTTCGCCTCATCGAAGTGTAAAGTGCTGCTCCAGAATTGGCCCACACCTGCTCCTGTGCCCACACTTGAAGGTGCACAACTTGAACAGGTAGGTAGTTTCATCTACCTTGGAAGCTATGTTTCTGTTGACGGCACTATCAACAAGGAAGTTTCCGCTATAGGGCTTTGTTTACAGCGCATCGGTTCGTCCGGTATTGTTGTATGGGAGTGAGTCCCAGCCAATTAGCGTAGAAGATATGTGTCGTCTTTCTGCACTGGACAACGATTGCTTAAGGAAAATAGCTCGTATTCGGTAGCAAGATCGTGTTCAATGATCACGTTCGACGTTGCATCTTGGGGAATGCATTCCCTTTAACAAACTGATTTTGCTGGGCCAGTTGAGATGGCTCGGTCACGTCCTACACATGGCATCTGAGCGTCTGCCGCGTCGCGCTTTATTCGCTCGTAAAGGACCTGGCTGGAAGCGACCGCGTGGTGGTCAGCCTTCCACTTGGCGACAACACATGAAATCGGTGACGTTGCGTCTAACCACCGTTGGACCTGTACGTCTTCCAGGGTGGACTCCCAAGGATGAAGAGTGTCAATGGCTTAACACACTTGAATACATGGTCTGCAAACAGAAGCAGTGGAAGGATTGTATACAGAAGTGTCAATTCACATGTTTAATACTTCAAATAATAAGCATGAAAAAAGAGAAAAATCGGTGTGTGAAAAACAAAATAAACATGTTTTATTTTTGTCGAAAAGTTCCTTTCATCCTGAGGCACAGTAGCAGAAGTGTGTTGCTTACCTTCAAATATGTGCCACGATAAGCGTGAAGCAATCACTCTACTCCTTATCTGTTAATCATGGTTTTTGTAGGTTCTGTGTCTATTTACCAGATTGTTGAGACTAAACTACTAAACTACTACTACTGGCACTACTACTAGTAGTACTATTAGTAGTACTACTACTAGTAGTAGTACTAGTAGTAGTAGTGGTACTACTACTAGTAGTAGTGCTAGTAGTAGGAATAGTAGGTAGTAGTAGCAGTAGTAGTAGTAGTAGCGGTAAAATTTGTTTACATATGCTGCATTATTGATATCAGAAGAGGATTTCACGTGAGCTGAAGGGACGTATTTAAACCACTGCGATATATCTTGTCTCCCGTCATGGTAGTAAGACTACCGGATTGGTGGGAAACTCTCGGCAACTATATGTCTCTGACGATCGATTTCCATGAGTAACGCCAGTGATGAGTGGTGCCAACGTGTCCGCACCAATGGGATATGAAAGCGAGTGCTATACCATAGGCGTAAGTTGGGCTCCGATGAACAAATTGGCTTGAACCGGCTACGTTTGATCGAGCACGTGCTAAGTATGTCTGAACATTGTTAATCAAGAAGAGCCCTGGGTTGTTTATTCGGTGTTCGATGATATAAGGCCAAAGAGGGCAATCATTAATCCGGTCTCTAGATTTGATATCGTTGGTCGGTCTCGTTCTCCAGGCTGGACTTCAAGCCACTCACGTGATACCTGGCTGGATATGTTACAGCACCTAGATTGCAACTGGCACCAGTGGTATATTTCCAGTCGTCTAATTGCCAACTGACTGTTGGGTTATTCATGAGACAAGATTGATCTTGATGCAGGGTGGTAAATAGGACAAGGGATATGAGTTGAAGACACCGTATTGTCATCATAAGACAGCCAACTGTTTGAGACTGGGATGTGATCGCAAGATGCAGATACAGTAAAATCTCCGAAGTTGGCCACCTCCATATCCTGACCACCATTGAAGGTTTACCATGCAAACGTAATGGATTCAGACTTCTGTATGCTGAAAACTTTGGTCCAGTGTCTTGAGTGGTCAAGTTACGGAGGTTCTACTGTAGTCATAATGCTCCAGTAATTCTACACTCTTCTTCAATATTAAACTAGATTAGTAGGTTCATGGTTGAATGATGACGAAGCATCAGCAGAAAATCCTGACTGAATACCATAGTTGCAGACGATGATGAGTGCTCAGTGGATGAGGCTTCTGTCAGTGATTTAGTGTTGTTCCATGAATGCCTTCTTGGTAGCAGTTGCAGCTCGAATATTAATCCAATATCATTATGCATTGTTGCCTCCCTCTTCTGTAAGCGCGCATGCAACAAGGTAATGTCAAATAATAAATTATTTTGGTCCGTTTTGCCATATCCATTTGGTTCAAAGGTTATTGAACAGTATCTATGCATGCAGTAACTTTCGCCTAGAGTTGTATGAAGAGTGGAGAGCCAAGAAACTCTTGCCGGTCAGTTCGAAGTACAAAATGCAAGAATGCATGAACAAGTTAGGGTATGAGGACAAACACGACCGCAAGTGAACGCAAATGAGCACCTACCACATAAAAAACAAGAGCGGCGAAGAATGTCCAAAACCTTAACAATAATGTAAAAGGCTGAAAAAATCCGAAGCCAAGCAATACATCTACATAGACTGATAACTTACGAGGTAATAAAGGCCGCGAGCATAAGAAGGCAGAAGACGATTGGAAGGTAATGCAGCTCGAAGGATCGCATACTGGGGATGCAAAGTGCGAATGAGTAGCTAGTATAAAGAAAAATAAAACAACTCAGCAGGCTAAAATATAGGAAAAAATTTATACGGAACAGTAGAGAATACTACATAGAAATCACAAGAGATACCATGCTTAGTATTAGTATGCATCACGTGTAAGAGCCTGGGTGGTGGGGAGATAAGTGGGAGGCGGAAGGACAAAGAAACACAAAATAAACGCCATTGGGGTCGACTTTCGTCATGTCGATGTGTCTATCCAACCAGATGGGTTCATCGTCATTCGAACCCCAGGCCGGTAGTCGGGAACCACCAAGCGAAGCAAAGTTTGTGAGAGACTTCAGACATCTTGACCAAGTCATCGCTTGGCCTCCCCACCTATTCCTCCATCCAGACCCCGAGCGTGCAAACAACGCATGATGCGGGAGCCGGTGCGCAACACATGGCCAAGACATCGGAGTCTAGTGTGCGATATAAGAGTGCTAACCTGTCCATTCGCTTCTTGCACCAAGTACCCGAGCGGTGTTCCTACCAGGGCTTTTATTAAAAAAAACAAGGATATTGCTTGTAGATCGCTTGTCATTCTGCCAATAAAAACTGCTTCTAATGCAACGGAAGACGTGGGACGAGTAGGTTGTATTTAGCTTGATCAGTAGAGATCCCTCTGTTGTTTAGCTATCACAAAAATGGCAAACCAGACGCTGGGCTTGTGTACCATAAAATCCGGAATAGCCAAAGTGAGCAAATTCATGCTACCGCCCGACTCAGGTTTTACATCGACATTAGACATGGTATACGAGTGAAGTTTAAAAACAAATGGACGGTAAATAATCCATTAAGGATTAGGGGAAAACGACTTGGAACGAACTCACCGAAAACGACACCACTAAAAAAATAAAATTCGCGCGTACAAATCCCGGTCACCAACTTTTAAGTTCAAGTTCAAGTGGGACTGGAACGAGAGGGTTATCCCGTGAGTGTTCCTTCTTCAGCGGGTCGTTGAAATAGGAGTTGGCAGACTGAAATACTGAAGGACCTAAAACAAAGCCCGCATCACACCCTGTCCAACCAATTAATGTCCACGTATCCTGCCCTAGCAGTCCCTGCTGCGCCAGTTACGTGAAGTAAGAAAGAGAGAAAAGTAAACTCAGAAGGCAAAAATAGAAAGTGGAAAGAGATAAGCAAGTAGAATACCAAGATATTTGAGTCATTAAAAAGGAACTGGAAAGTGAGGGTGAGTCAGTTAGGAAAAAGGAAAGGTTTGGTGTTGCCACCCAAGAGCACCCAGCTGATGCGCAAAACCCTTAACGGTAGGTTCCCCAACCACATGATCTGGAAGCGAATTCCAGCGATCTATAACTCGGCGCGACAGACATTTCCATCCTAATCCTATCAAACCATGGTTTATGCAGTTTCAGTGGGTGACCGCAGAGATTAGGTAACGTAGCGCAACTAAATAGCCCTGACAAACCCGGGCCAATCTTACCCGTCAAAATACGATAAGTGAAAATCAGGTCCCCTCATATCCCTCGGTAGTGCATGGAGTACATCTCCAAACTGAGCAAGCGTCCAGGATACGTCTGTCCCTGTAGACCCAGCACTAACCGAGTGTCCACTCGTAACACCCTCTCCAAGTCCGTTTTGTCTCGGATAAGACACGGTGGACGAGCCTGGATACAATATTCCAGGTGGGATCGGACGAATGCCGAGAAAAGCTTCACAAACAAACTGGCTGTTAAGATCCCGAAAGAGCGGCGGATAAACCACATCATACGAAACCCCCGACAAGCAGCCTTCTTCCAAATGTCACCAGAATGAATTGCTGATGAGTGTACGACCCCTAAACCAACCTGTTGAGTGACAACAGGGAGTTCACCACCGCCGACAACATATCGGGTGGGAGGATTAGCAGCTCTGATTCGGAGAACAGAGCACTTGGTCCTACTTATGGGCATTAACCATAAGGTAGACCATTCCCAGAGCCTAGCTAAAGCATGGTGAATTGCCTCAGGACCCCCCGGGATATCCACAATATTTCAGGGGTTAAAGTCATCAGCAAACATTAGTTATGGGACCACTAGCTCTCCCGGCAAGTCATATACATAGATGGCGAACAACCATGGCCCCAATACCGAGCCCTGCGGGACGCTACTAAGGACAGCTTGCTTGAGCGAAAGGCTGCGCCCAACTCGTACGCACTGTTCCCTCCCCACAAGGAAGGCAGATATACATTGAAGGGAGCGACCAGATATACCGCAAGATCTCAACTTTAGTAAGAGTCGAAGAGGAACAGTGTCAAAAGCTTTCGAAAAGTCTACAGCGTGGCCACTGTCTACGACTTCGGCCCAGCTCTCACGAGCTACAAGTAGATCAGTCTGACACGAGAATCTCTTGCGGTATCTATGTTGCGCAACACTGAGAAGGTTGAATCTATTCAGGTGGTTCTCCACTGAATCCCTTATCAGCTTTTCAAACAACGTGGCTACTACGCCTATCAAACTGACAGGCCGGTAGTTCGCGGGTAGAGCGCTGTCACCGCCTTTAAAAATAGGACAGATGATTGCCTCCTTCCATTCCAAAGGTAGGACGCAGCTGTCAAGCGATATTGAAAACACGCATGTGAGGACCACTCAGCTCAGTGGCCAATTCATGCAACAGCTTCGGATGAATTGAATCAGGACCGGGAGCTTTAGAGGATTAATGCCTTGCAGTAGCATGAAAACCTGAGTCTCCGCTTTGTGAAACTCAGCCAAGCAAGAATTTTCTGGAACTCTTGAAACCAATTCCATCTGTAGTAAAGAGATTCTCCGAGCAAACAACCCAGTATACTAATAGGTATGTATACCAGCATTGTCATAGTCAGTTTGCGCACGGCTCCCGTCTGCTCGCAATAACGCTGATATAGACAGTTTTGCCCCGCTGCGTCTTTTAACGTAAGCAAAAAACTTCTTGGGGTTAGCTGCGGCCGAGTCCGCTAAACTCTGCTCATACTGAAGACGAACAGTTCTGAGATGTTGCTTACATTTATTTTTAATTTCTGGATAACTATCATAGGTACTGTCTGATGGAGCTGCTTGGTAGGCTCATCAATCATCATCATCATCAACAGCAATACATCAGCCATTTGAACTGATGCTTCGCTGCCATACAACCATCAGGACCTGTGAAATAAAGAATAATAAGAGGGAGAGAAGGGGGACTTACCTGAAAACCTTAATGCCCTAAGCAGACATTCATGGTCAAGGCGCCTACACCTTGGGTAGCCAACATACCGTCACAAACAGCTGACGATCATGCAAAGATAAGGCGGCATCGGCGAGACAGCTTACTTGCGGCTTTCACTGCTCCGTGTCATAATCAGCCATTATCCCGCAGATAAATCAGCGCCAAACACACTTTAAATAGACAATCCGATTAGGAGACGGCAGCAGACGCGCTACTGGTGTCGGCTGCGAGCCATGTCCCGTAAAGTCTCAAGCTAAGCACAAAACGCGTCACGTGGACTCCAGCCCGGAAGGCGAGACGCACCGACGGCACCCAGTTTGGTCGTCAGTGACTTCATTTCCCGCTACCAAGTCAAATTCTGCCCACCTCGAGCCTTGCGCCCCCTTACATCTGGCAGACTAAACAAGGCCCTCCTAGGTAAGCGGTGACAAGGCATACGTAGCACGTGTCCGAGCCAACGCAACTTATTCAGTGGTATCTGTAGTTTTATGGAGCTAGCATGATTATCATTACCTAGTACTCGCCTACGAACATCATCGTTACGGACACGCTGGTGCCTTCCGACACCACCAATGCTTCGTAGACAACGATGATCAAAGACTTGAAGGCGACTCAGATCTTCAGACAGAAGAGGCCAAGTCTCACTACCATAGAACAGGACGGCCCTCACTGTGGTCTTGTATACACGGTTTTTCAGACTGATGGAAACGCTCTTCTGTCGACAAAGATGCCGCAGGTTCAAGAAAGCAGCTCTGGCCTTTGCAATGCGTGAGCTCAAGTCAGTTTCTATGCGCCCATCATTGCTGATGCAGCTGCCAAGATAAGTGAAATGATCAACCACCTCAAATTCCTCGTTAGCAAGCGCCAAGGGGTCACCAAGTGGCTGGTGGTCCTGCAGCATCACTTTGCACTTTGAAGGTGCGAAGTGCATACCAAATAATGGGACCACACTAGACAGGCTATTCAGGATTGATTGTGCCACCGCAACATAGTCGAAAAGCAAGACGATATGGTCCGCATAAGCTAGATCAACTAACCTTTCACCAGGCAGCACTTCAACGTCCACATCGTGAGATTCCACAAGAGAACACTCTAAGATAGAATCCGTGAAGAAATTGAACAAAAATGGGGAAATCGAACAACCCTGACGAACACCACTTGTGGTCGGAAAGATATCCGATAGGACACCGTAGACCCTGACGCGGCCTGTAAGGTTCGAGTATAGAGCACGAAGGATGTTCACATATTTCGTGGGAACACCTTTCCGCGCAGCTATTTCGGACAGAATCGATCGATCGACTGAACCGAACGCACTCTTGAAATCGAGGAACACAGCTATTGTCGGTCTGTGGTATGCGTGGTGCTGCTCTAGCACCTGCTGCAAAGTGAATTTATGGGCTATACAGTCACGCCCTAGGCGGAAACCTGCCTGCTCTTCCATAATCCGAGATTCCCGTTCCACAGTGAGGTGACGAAAAAGGATCGAGGCCAGTAATAATGTCACAACTGGTGTTAGGCTAATACCCCTGTGGTTAGAACAGTCTAGAGACTGCCTTTCTTGTATATTGCCACTATAATCCATTCGCTCCAAATAGCCGGGACACTTCCTTCCACATATGTTCGAATAGGGTCAGTGCTTTGCAGTGCTTTCCATCCTTAAATATTTGCAGGTAGCATGGAATCCGAGCTAGCGGCACGAAAACGATTGAGGGCGGTAATTGCGTTTCGGACCTCTGCCTCCGACGGAGGCTCTAAACTAACCGTCCATGGCTCGTCCTGTATCATCTGAACGGTAAGGGGTCCGGGAGC